ACACCAACTGACTTAAGCAATAGTCATCACATGTACCTATACAGCAAACACAGTGAGTACCACAATAATAAACTATTCCCAAGGGACTTCAAGTCAAACTATAAAGACCAATTGTTTGCAAACTTTCTGAAGAAAATCTAGCCATGAGTTATGTCACCTGTATGCATCAGGTTGCCCTAGAATTTAGGTGTGCATATATAAACAGAACGCAGTGGCTGCCCAAGACAAAGTTTTGTATTGATGAAGACAGAAATCAACGAGACATCAGCTTACAATAGCATTTAATATGATCAATGATGTGACCGGCTCTAAGGCGGCAGGTTAGAACTACCAGAGATCTTGACTTGATAATAATGTGTCTTGTGTAACTGTAATTGACCAATTTCCAAGAACTTTCACATTACTTCATTTTATTCCAACAACTACCCTAGGAGCTTAAGTTAGAAAGAAGACTCACTAGCCATTCAGGAAGCAGACAAAGACAGACTATGATTTGCTCAGGGTCACATCAAGTAACTACAATGTTGGGACAAGAAAATGTACCCCTTGACTCAAGATCCAACACTTCTGACTCTGGGCCTCACCATATGACCTTGGACAAGTCACTCTACATTTATTCTTCAATCTCCTGTCTCTAAAACAGTGCCTATCAAAAGTGACTAGGGAGAGAGAGTGAATAGGGCAGCCTAAGTCAACACACTTCAGGACATATGAATAAAGGTGTATGTTAAGATATGCCTGTTTCTCTGGAGAAAAACAGGGTATGGGGAGGGGTACCAGTGTGCTGAGCAAATCAAGTGTTACTGGACAGAAGGACCATATTTGTTAATTCTCTTGTAGTCTCAATGACTCCACAAGGCAAACATCCATTAAGTTGGCACAAAAAAAAAAAAAAAGAATGGACTCACCTATGCACCAGACTGTAACTAGTATGGATCCTATTAAGCACCTGAATAACAAGAGAGAGAGACAGGTTCTGCCTGCATTTCTTCACAAAGATGAAAACAGATGGGTTTCTATGATGCTAGTCTATAAAAGAAAATGTGAATACATTGCCTGTTCCCAGTCAGCACCATCACAACTATCATCTATCTCTAGCCTGATATTCCCAGTATCATATGGCATGGGTAACTATAAATTTAGAATTCAGTTCCTTAATTGCATTAAAAGTGTTTAGTAGGCACACAAAACTAGTAAACAATGTACTGGGCTGATCAAACATGACAGACAATCCTATTTCACAGGGCTGCTTAAGATACTATACTTTTATTTTATCACAATTCTAGAACTTCTTAAGAACAGAAACTTTATCTTATATTCAGTATTTCCAGTTTATATAACAAAATGAGTATCACACACCACGCATTCACTACAGTTCTAACTGGTTAACTTAAATTACAGAAGATAACTCTACCCACTTTTCCCATCCCCAATTTTCTCTCATAGGAAGAACATCTCACATGAGGGACAGCAGGGATGATGTGGAACAGGACACTGAGGCTAGAGGGAGAAGGCCCATTTTTCAGTCCTGGGTGTACCAGATCACCATGTAGCTTTAAGCACAGTAATTTGTCTATAAAAAGTTAAACTTAACTATGTAGATACTAATTTTAAAACTCCATCTTGGGAGAGGGAGGTGAAACAGATTTTCACTATATAACCCAGGCTGGCCTCAAAGTTGACCCACCCAATCCTCCTGCCTTAGCTGAGATTACAGCTGTGAGCAAAACGTCCAGTTTAAAACTATTTTATACTGCCAGGTGGTGGTGGTGCACACCTTTAATCTCAGCACTTGGGAGGCAGAGGAAGGTGGACTCTGTGAGTTCCAGGTCAGCCAGGACTGTTTCACAGAGAAACCCTGGGGGGGAGGGAGGAACCTATCTTATACCATAATAAATCATTCATTCAGTCTAAAAGACCTTTGTATGTGTCAAGAACATACTGATAGGTATCTCAAATTAGAATTCTTGCCAAAGTCATACGTTATTGTGATTAGAGCTACTTTTGGCCACTAACTGAGCATGTGAACAGCTTCGTCCATACACCAAAAGTCAACTAAAGACTTACACCTTAAGTTTAAAAAAAACTGAGTTTCTTCCAAGCGCCAAGACCAGAACTGGATACTCTGTCCATATCTGATCAGAAAACAAGGGCAAGTTTCTTGAGCAGCTGAATTTAACACCTTTTGTCCCATCACCTTCTACATGAGCCTCAGCCTAAAAGCCAAGTAAAGAGTACATAAGTGAGACAAGAAAACTTCTTCCTCTAACAATATTATACTGTAAAAAAATTATTTAATGAAATATGCATTTTTATTCAACCTACATACTTCACATTTAACTGGGAGAAAAAAATCTTACCTAGGCATTGCTGGTACAGACCTACAATCCCAGATACTCAGGAAGTTGAGTCAGAAGGATCTTAAGTTCTAGGCCAGCTTGGGACACAGACTAAGTTCAAGGTCAACCCAGGTAGCTTGGTATGACCTTGTTTCAAAGTAAAAAAATATAGCCAGGTATGGTGGCAAATGCCTTTAATCCCTTGGGAAGCAGAAGCAAGACAAATATCAGGACAACTTGGTCTACATAGACATTTCTAGGTCAGTCAGGGCTACATAGTGGAACCCTATTCAGAAAAAAAAAAAGCACATATGTTTGTGTGTGTGTGTGGAATGAAGGTACAGTAGTAGGTGCCTCCGTACACACACACACACACACACACACACACACACACACACACACACACACGGAATGGAGACACAGTAGTAGCACACTTGTGTTCGACCCCTACTACCGAAATAAAGTGTGTGGGTGAACCTTCACTGTCAACAACCCTCTTCACAATGACCTTCCTATAACACTTAACCTCCTTACTTTTATAAATTTTATATGGCTTCAAGAGTAACCAAGAACAAAGGGCTGGAGAGTTGACTCAGTGGTTAAGAGCACTTACTGGCTGCTCTTAAAGAGGACCCAGATTCAATTCCCAGCAACCACATGGAAGCTCATAACTCTTTCTAACTTTAGTTTCAGAGGATCTGACACCCTCTTCTGGCCTTCGCCAGCACCAAGCATCCAACTGATATACATACATTTTGCATCCATACATAGAATACTTTTAAAAGGGGGACAGAAACAGATGCGATGTGAACGATTGCCTTGACTTCCTTTAAAGTTGGTAAGCATGTGCAGCAATGGCAGTTCAGATATTATGTAATAAAACTACACCAAGTTTGTCAGTTGCCGATACTAAGGTTTTACTCTGTCTCCCATAGAATGGGATGAACTATAACTGAGAGTTATCCCATCTGCTTGTGTTTATACAAAAGGTGACACTTTTTCAGATGATAAGGAAAGAACACATGCAAAACCATAGGGGCAATAAAAAGTCTCCCCCTATAGAAACGACTGTCTGAGACAAAGTTAACATTAAAACCCATCCAATGTTTTTGTTTTGCTTTTGTGTGTTAATTGATTGGGTGGGTTTTTCTGAGGCAGGTATCTGTATGTAACTATGGCTTGTCCTGGCACTCGCTGTGCAGAACAGGATGGCCTGGAACTCACAGAGACCCACCTCCTCAGTGCTGCAATTAAAGGTGTGTGCTACCTCACCCAGGTAAACTAACCAATGTTGTTGGAACAGTCATACATAGTGCCTTGCCATGGATAAGAATTCAACATTTTATTCATCTGCTGAATAAATGAATAAGCAAGTAGAGTATTCCTGAGGAAAAAAGGACAAAACTCCAATGCTAAGAACACCATATACCTTTTACAAAAAATAGAAACAGATGTCTCTGCACCATGAGGTTTATCTGTCACATAAAGAGACTAGAACGTAGTCAAAAAAATGTTGCCAGTTTCTATGTCAAAGTACTCCAATAGTGACCAAGAAAACATGGCCCATGTCTGAAAGCCCATCAAAGTGTAGCTACAGCTATAATAATACACACACACACACACACACACACACACACACACACACGGTAAGCTACACTATGATAGTACCAAAGGCGGATAGGGAAAATGAAGGTGGGCAGGGGAGGGGCAGAATGTTGAGAGCTAGGCAGCAGACAGAAATGATGGTGTGAGAGAAAGTGTATGTGTTTGGGTCGAGAGCTGAGAAAGCACTATCTTGAGGAAAGAACGGTATGGCAAAAGTCCAGAGGCAAGGGAAACCCTAACCACGAGGACAGTATATCAAGGAAAATTGCAAACCTAAACTTTTGCAAGAGATGTATACATTTTTCAAAAGCTCAGCTAAGAATTCATAATTACTTCTCACCCTCAAGAAGACCTACCTACCAAAGGGGTGGTGGTCAGTGGACCTCAGGAAAAGCTCTCTCGCGGCATGCTGCATACAGCTACCATCCTAGCATTCAGGAGGCCGGGGCAGAAAAACGGAGAGTTCCAGCAATAGAACGAGGGCACACTGAGGGGAGGGGAGTGACAATATGCATCTCTGCCAGGGGAACCTACACTTTTAACAAGCATCCTCCTGCACAGCTAAACTGGAGAAACACTCGCGGACCTCTGGGATGAAGATTACCTCCGTTCACAGTTGCCAAACCTTACAACACCCCGGAACCACTAAGGTTCTAAGATACTGCTATTTGGCTCCCGCTCCCCCCCCCACCTTCTCTAGGCATAGTGGTTTAATTAGTTTGGGGTGCTGTGGTACCTGGAATCTTTTCAAAACTCTCCAAGTGGGTTTTACCATGCATCAAAGTTGGAGCTCCTATGACCTAATTGTTAAGAACCTGAACTGGACTGTCAAGGCTGCTTGAGTTCAAATTGCCCCAGCTATATGACCTTGGGCACCGAAGGCGCCCAATCGCTCTGGGTCTCGATTGCCTGGTCGAGAGAATGGGGTAACAGTCCTGCCATGCAGAGTGGTGAAATTCCCTGTCTAGCCTGGGCCTGGCAGACAGCAAGCGCTTGCTAAGGGTGGCTGTTTACTCTCCCCACGCGTCACCGTGCCCCCGGCAGCAGCATCCTCACCGGACGGCAGCAACTCCACCAGCCCTGCGGTGGACCGCATTCTCCTCAGAGTTGCCGCCGCCACTCCAGACCCGCCCCCGTCCCCAGGCTGCGAGGGGTGCGCGCGGCCAGTCCGACCCTCCAAGGTTCGCTCACAACCGGCAGAAGCCGCGGGCCAGGACTGCGCTCCCGCGCCCGGTGCGTCCGCTTTAGAACCCAGGAATGAGCCTGCCAAGGCCCGGCCAGGAGAGCAACGGAGGGCAAGAGGGCCCCCGCCTCAGTGGCCGCCGGAGGAAAAAAAAACAACAAAAAAAAGAAAACAGCGAGAGGGGAGGGTCCGGCCGTGCCGGCCGCCGCGTACCTGAGGCGACGGGCGGGGCCCGC